GAAACCCGAAGACAGTCAATGTGCAAAGATATAAAACATAGAAAAACAACAAATGGAGAAGCCTAAACCAGAGAATATTTGGCCTTTTTGGATTAAAAGATGGATTTAAACGATTAATCGATTTTCCCAGTCCTAACTCCAAGTGCACTTACCTGCTTCCTCTGGAGCTCTAAACCGGAGCACATGCACCTCATCCACTGAGGACGACTGTGTGAGAGGATTAACGACACGGACGAGAGGTCCTAAAAGTTGCAACAGCTACAGATCCATCTCCATGACAACTGAGAAAACTCCATCCCCGATGAAGAACACATGATTGTTTGGCCAAACTACTACTATCTGAAATCAAAGATGGTTCACTGGAGCTGGACTAATAAGGGGGAAAAAGTACAGTTTTTCAACTTGAGTGCACAAGTTGATATACTGCAGGATGTCGATCAGAAGTAATTTATTGATTACAGCCAGATACTGAAATCTCTGGGTATTTTCCATGGGGTAGTTTGTATTGGAAAGAAACCTACCTACAGAAATATCCTGTATTAAAAATGTGCCTTCCTGCTTTGTAGTTACAGGCTACTGTGATTCTAAAGGATGAAATACTTTGCGTAGAAGGAGAAACAGTTCTATTGACTTCCTGCTGGGTCAAGGATGACCTAACAGTCCTTTAATGACCGACCGACTCCACCGTGACCGACCTCCAACTGGATTTGTGGATTACAATCGACTCATCTCACATGGCAACCTGCCGAAACAATAAGTGATAAACGCTTTGCCTTGATATTTAATTATCTGTTGTACTCAGTATGAACCAAACTCTCTGCAGCAGATGTCTGTAAGTCTGCCAGCAAATGAGCACAGAAAGGTATTCTCTATAACTTCTGGCAAGTTTGTTCATCCACTTCTTAAAGTAGCAGTGAGTGAGATATAGTGGCATTTGGCGGTTTAGGTTGACTGAATACACCCCCCCCAAAATGTAAATGTTAATGCAATTGCCGAGTGTCACATTTCTCACCTAAAACTCCTCAGAGAGACACACTGCTATATTATTCTGAGCAGGGAGTCATTATGTGAAAAGTGAAAGTGTTCCCAACACATCTTGACATTTAAGGTGGAGTAAAGCAGTCCTCAGGTCAGAGCCCCCGCTATATATTTAGCTGTAACTCGAACACACAGTCTAATCTGTTTATCAGTAAAAGTGTAAAATGTAGTTCACGACGGGTTAACGAGCAGCTTTAGTGGAAGTCAAGCCAGTAGTAATTTTATGCAAACAGCAAGTGTTCCCCTCCAGGCTTCTTAACAACTGAGCAGAGTTTTAGTGAGCTGGATTCCTCTCAGCAGCTTGGAACAGAAAGTGTGGTGGAGATGCAGTGGGGGGGGGGGAGGGGGAGAAGGGGAACCCTGGCAGCGTCTGCAGCCACAGAGTGAGCCGTGTGTCAATCAATAGCTCCTGCAGTGGCTGTGTTGTCAGAGGCAGCCAGCTCTAAACTTGCAGTAACCTCTTTGGGCTCGCTGCCATCCGCCACTTAGCAGACAACTCATGGAGCATCAAAAGAGTGGAGCGGTGCAGCTGAGGTAAGGTCGCTTTCACAGGGAGAGCTCCGACTCTGAGGCACATACGTAGTTCTCCAGCTGCTCCATTCCTGTAATTAGTTCCGTTTTCTGCTGGACGGACAGCCGTAGTTAGTCCTCACTTCACATGAAAGGGAAAAGAGGAGCACATACAAATCAACATGCTTCGGATGTGTATTATATATATGATATGCACAGAAAGTTGTCCAGCGTGTACTAGCATCTGCATCTTGTTTTCTCCACTAGAAAGGCCCCCCAGAGGGCCCTTTATCATGTTTTCTCTTCTGTAAGGGCAGCCAAGAACAAGAGTTAAAGATGGTTCAGGATTGGGGGGGGACTAAAAGGGCACGGTATCATGTATTATTTACAGCGGGGACATCTAAGAGGGCACTTTATAAAGTTTTCTCCACTAGAAGGGCACCCAAGAGGGCATCTTATCATGTTTTATCTACAATGAAACCATACAGAGTTAAAAGACGGTTAAGAACTGGGGGGGGACTGCCATGTCGAGTGTGAAACAGTGGAGCTTTGAAAAAGATTTGCAATTCAGTTGGGCGACTGGATTTAATGGATGACTTGAAGAAAGCTCCGTTATTAAACCAACCAAAACATCAGCAAGAATGTGGGCATGTCTCACAGCTCTTCTGGGATGTTAAAAAAAACCAAAGAGGGCAAAAATGATGATTTAAAGGAATTCCAACAAAAGGGAAACCATTTGCCTGATAGAGTGTAACGAGTTGATTCTGTCTGTTTCCCTCCTGACATTGCTTCTACTCCAGTTGATCTCCATGTGGGGGTGGGGGGGGGGGGGGGGGGGGTAGTCTTTTTCACAAACTAATCACCAACGACCAACTTATCCGCCTGAATCTAATGTCATTTTAATTGGACATGTGATGTTATGACATGTCGTATGTAAAATGTATTTGTTAATCAAGGGGGTCATATCAAATTCAAAACTATTGTTCAGAAGCCCAAATGCGTAAGAGAGCCCATTGAGTGACCGATTCGGAGAAGTCGGGGTCATTTTCCCATATTCTTCCTACTCCTTTGTTCCGCTTGACAACGGCGTTAGTCCCGCCGAGGGCTCTGATTGGCTAATTGTTAGTTTGCCCGCTACGCTTATTCGTCGATTACTTTTTAATCGAGAAACCGCCGTTTCATGTCACGATGCCAGACAAGCCAGATGAGGGGGATTCTCATGAGACCCTGGCTGTTGGAGTTCATCCAGAAAACCAAGTCATCAAAATGTGACTGCAGGTCTCAGAGAGGGCTCTGACTGGTCTGTGCCTTCATGTACGCACCCCCTAAAGGCCAATTCACACTCTCTGCGTCCATGTGTCCGTGAGTCTCCGCTTTGGCCTGCGTGACGTAGAAGTCGGGTCCTTCAATGGGCTCTGCCCCGAGGACTTTGCACTCTGTTGGGGGACATAAGTGGTCACTTGGGCAACAGCCCTGAGATCTAGGTCTGCTTACAACAACCACCATGTTTGAGCATAAACTGATTTACAGATGTACCTGAGAGCAGAAAACCTAAGGCCAAAAACAGTCAGAGTGGGTCGTGTTTAAAGCCTCCATTGCTGAGGCAAGCTACTGGGTGCGTTGGCCAAAAGGTCATCTGTGCCAGGTGTGATGGAAACTCAAAAGCCCCTCTGGTGGACGGGCCTTCGGGCTCAGTTAGCCCAATAAACTCTTGGATCTGCTGAGTGGTATTGGCAAGCAGTTCCGGCAAACCGTCAAGACCCCTCAGGAGGAAGTGTTTCGCCCCGGACTTGTCTGTGGAGAGTGACGCGTGTCCTGTCTGGTGACACGTGGCTGCACCTTTGCAGTGACGAGCACCAGTGGTTTGAGCACCTGGTCAGGATGCCTCCTGGACACGTCACAATGTGAGGGATTACACAGCCTTTTTTTTTTTTTTTTAGCTTCGGGATCTCCTAGAGGAGCTAGAGGAAATGGGAAGAGGGTAGCCGTCATGACCCCAGCCTCATGTAGCCTCTAACACTATAAACACATATATAGGAGAATAAGATAACAAGTGAAAATAACAGAACAAAGAGCAAATTCACTTCTGTTCAAAATTTTTGCTGAAAAAGACATGCCCTGATAGGCCATCAGGCAGTTGCTTTTGTAAGATCTGCATCATAATAACAAAAAGGATGTAATGTATGAAACATTTAGAGTGCAACATTTAGTTTTTCGGGGCAATAATAGATCTTAAGCGCATCCTCACTTTGGAGGTTTTAAGAGAGACTCACTGCATAGCATGAAATGTGCAGTTCCTTTAACGATGGCATTGAAGTCCAGCTCCTGAAGGCATGAGGTTATTATTTAGTGGGTGGATAGCAGATAGAAGGATGATGCTAAATTATCATCCTCCTACTACTACACCGCACGCTAAGCTACTCTATCGGTGCACTTCCACAGATGGTTCGGTGTCCAGTTTTACTAAGTCGGTGGGAAACTTTGACAGCAGGAACTCCAGTGAAAAGTGCCTCATATGTCAGTCGGCCTCCACCAAGGCCGCGTGCAGCAGAAAGACTATAACGGACAGATAATCACGTAGATATCAGGACTGTGTTCACAAGCAAATGTCTGCTTAAAGAATGCGAACGCTCTGGACGTTTCTTCTCATAGTTGTTGCAGTTGACAAAATCACACAGAAACTGAAACAGTAGTGTTGCAAATCATTTAATTCATTATTAAGGACATGAATAATGGAAGAACAAGTCTTTCTAAAAAATGATTAACACTCATGTCACTTTTCATAATTTAGATTTGTTGCACAAATCTGCAACAAACAAAAAAAAGGTCAGTTAGGAGATACAGAAATCAGAAGAAGGTAAAAAAAAAAAAAAAAAAAAGGGACACAATTCAGCTTAAGAGGAGACAAACAGAGTGGTAGAAATAAACACACACATGCCGGACGAACTGGATGGATTTCACAGTTCCCATGAACTCCTTTAAAACAAGTGGGATGTTACCAGAATAACAGTTTAACAGTTGGAAAAGAATCCTGTGAAACAGAGAAACTGTTGTGAACTGAACTCATTCCTACAAAGATGGACTTTCAAAAAAACAATACACACAAAAAAATAAAATCCCCACAGCATTGCTAGCTCACGTTGAAATGCTCCCAACCATGCGGACGCTGTAATTATTCTGATCCATTTCATGGGCCGCTAGCTATTTGGATACAGAGGAGTGATTTCACGCGGAAAGCGTCGTCCCATCAGATTTGATGCGAAGCTGCTTTGAGGCTTCTTCTTGCACTGGTGCAGCCATGTTGTACACGAGGAGGAAGAAATAAACTCACACTCTCTCTCTCTCTCTCTCTCTCTCTCTCTCTCTCTCTCTCTCTCTCTCTCTCTCTCTCTCTCTCTCTCTCTCTCTCACACACACACACACACACTCACACACACACACACACACACACACACACACACACACACACACACACACACACACACACACACACACACACACACACACACACACACACAGGGGTTATTATCATGATTACATTTCGCCTCTGTGAGCTGAGCATCTTCGTTGGAGCTCGTCACAGTGACTTTGACCCAGACACCACTTCCTGTCTAGCCTTCATGTTTTTAAGGGATATTCTGTGACTTGTTTGAATAAAAACTTCTTTTTTTTTTGTTTTTAATACTGCTAATAGCCGTTGTGTGTGAAGGTATTTCAAGAAGTTTCTGGTTTGTTTAGAATGAATAGACGACTATGAATGGACAAAGAAAGAACCTCCCCTTATAGACACGTACTTCATCAGCAGAAAGCCCCAAAAAAACAAAAACAAATTACGTCTCTGGCTGCTGTCGGCAAGTCTGCTGCCAGCGCCGCGACGAATAATCCCTGTAATGATATTATCAATTCAGAGTCCCAAAGTACTTCACGAGCTCCTCAAACTCCACACAACCAAAGTGGTGTCACAGGTTTTCACTTTGGTGCAAAGCAGCTGATGAGATGCAGAGTGTCCAACACTTCATCTAAAGCACGGAGTACTCCATAACACCGACATCATTCATGTCTACCTCTCAGAACGGAACATAGGCCTCCGTCTGACAGGACGTGTGCACTACATTTTAGATTGCCTTTAAACATTACTATCACAGAAGAGTGAAAGAAACCATAACGCGTGTTCTGTATCGTACGTCATCAGAGCCACACAGTGGGCTTCCATGACGCCATTGTGTTGGTTAAAGATGTGCAAAGACATTATGATGTGAAGCATCGTAACCTTAAACTATTTCCATCACACTTTGTGTACGACTCCTGACTCAACTGGAGAGAGGAGAAGGCACGCGCCAACGCCATGCTGTCAATTTAGAAAAGGGTCGTGTTCATCTTCAAAGTGCTGCTTCTGATGCAAACCAGCTCACCTGCAAGGGATCCTTATGCAGCGTGCGTCTGTCAGTGACCCTGCGTATTCAAAGGAATCCTTCAATGACGTTCGGTACATTTAAATTCTGTTTCCTGTAGGTATAGCCAGCGTCGAGAGGTGAGTGGCAGCAAAACACAGCGTGAAGCTCGTCTTGCATCAGACAGAATCTATTCAGAAACACACTGAACACCAGCATTGCTTATTCTTATTCTTAAAAACTTTTTCCTTCCTCGGTTTGGCATCTGCTTCTCTGACACCCGTGGCCCCTCGGGGGCACGTCAGTGATCTCAGCCCCGAGCGAGATGCTGTTTCAAGGTAGACAGCTCATCAAGGTGAGTGACAAGTGTTGGGGGCGGGATCTTACAATTCCCCTTTTTTTTGTGCCTTGAGGTAAAAAGCTGCACACTGTGTGTGTTTTAACACTCACTAAATCTTCCACCTGGTTTATGTTGGGTAATGATGGAAGAATGGCCATGTTGTAATCAGGAGGCAGCTTTGAAGTAGTCACAGCTGTTCATCGACATCACAGCCCCCCATAACTCAGCAGAACAGCTGCTGGAATGGAGGTCTTTGCTTTTATTTTGTAACGCACCGCTGCAATAAAACACTGCGGTACAAATAACATGAGCAAACACGATGTCACAGAAGCAGTTGGGTTTGTGACGTACGGGAGACTTACATCCACAGGAACTGCTGCTTATTTCCAGGTTGTTATTTGACTTTCAACATGGAGGCCGAGCGACGCTACGTAGTAATTCAGTGTGCTCCGTGAGGACCACAGCAGCAACACACCGCTTGCTCTCTTTGGCTCCATACTCTTGTTTTGGACGACAGCCAGCTTGCGAGCTTTACTTTGGTGCTAGAAGTTTATCAGTCTGCAGCGCGCTGCCAGACTCTGGAGAATTATAGAACCTGTACATCCAAAGTGTAACGCATAATCAGAAAGATGCAGCTGGATATGAGGGCGAATTACGCTCCCGCAGAAGAACTTTAGGATCGTCTGACTACAAAGACTCACGCATGTTGTCCTGTAGTGTAGAACTGTACTTTCTATTGAGCAATGTGGGGGAAAGAGAAAACTAAGTGTGCTGAATTTGTTCACGTCTTCTTTAAACTTCAGTAGATGAATGAAAATGTATTTATGGCGGTGATTTAAACACTGGCTAGTTACATGGCATTCAATGGTGTTTCCTCCATGCAACCTCACACTAACACAACTACGGCTAAACTCTTAGTGAGAGATATCGAGATCAAAGTGTTGAATGTAAAAAGAACGTGTGTCTGGTGTTCCTGATGGGCTGCAGACCTCTAGATGACGTTACACTGCATTAGAGATGCTTGCAGAGACACTGGAATTGCTACTGAATAAATAAAATGTCAGTTGGAGCTGGAGAAAATGAACCAGAGAACTAGGGACCATCAAGCGATGGGACCGCGACGCCAAACCAGACTTGAACGTCACTTTCATTTGATCTCAACGACACACACCTGTAAACATTTGTGACCATCTTGCACGTTAGCGATGCCATCATGTCTACTGGCAGACAGACGGACATAAAAAAAAAACAAATGACTCCAAACCTCTTCTGTGCTAGTTTCCGGCTACAGTCGGTGTCTCCAGGACCACGTTTAACCATGACGACACACACGGTGAAAACACCACCAGACACATGCTGATGCGGCTGGTAAGGATAATAAACATTAAGGAAAAAGTCAAACGAATAAAAAAAAGACATCAATTAAAATGTAGTGAAGAGAAACAAAACTCCCCGTATCAAACCCCCCACCACCTCCATGTTACACCCACACAAAGTGCTTTCCCTCGCGTGGCCTGATTAGACCTCCTCTCAGGACCGTGTGGGCAGGGACACACTCCGCTTGATTGGGATCTGTTAGCTTTGTGGTACCTGGACAACTTTGTAATTAGTCCACAGACCCGATGTCACAGCAGACATTTTGCACCTTACGAGTGTTACAAATAACCAGTACGTCATGACGGAGTGGCACAATGCAGGAACTGAGCCCTGATTTATTGTATTATTACCATCTGTGCTTTTGCTTATTTGAGTCAAAATGTGACAAACGCCACCTTCCAATGCAGTCGAGTCGAGTACACTCGTACACGGCTTCCCGTGTCACTTCCACACGCAGGCAGTGGTTTCTAATCAGCCGGAACAATTGAAAGCACCTGTGAGGATGCAGGTCTTCACTGAGCCGTTAACGAGCACCACATGTTTACACTCAACGTGAACACATGATGTTCTCCCACTACTCAATTATACATGTAGCCAAAACATCTGCACAGCAGTCCCTGAGGTAATACGCTGCATGTATACGTAAAATAAAGGTTTTTCTCTTTCAAAAACCTTCTTCATGTCTTTTCACTTTTATTCATCCAAAAACATTTTTTTTTTTCCTTGTAAAGAATGAAATATTTAAATACAGGGCTGAAAAAATACATTGTAAGTGCATTCTTAAAGTATTTCCTGCAAACCTACAGAGAGCAAAGGAGGGGAGCCTTTGTGAAGCAGCACACTACGGAGCGAGGGGAAGCGTATCGCAGTGTGCATCAGTCTTAGAGTCTTACACACAGAGTACTAAGAACAAGGCCCGACCCTCTGACTCCCCCCCTCGGGGAGGGACCTGCGTCTCCGTGGCCCCACTAAGACTTACTGGAGCTGTGGCTTTGCTCCATGGTGTTGAAGAAGAGACAGACTCCCGCAGTCAGCAGCAGGTGCATGGACTCATACAGCAACTTGGGCGAAAAGACGCTCCATATGAAGAGATGGTACCGCAGAGTCGTCACCAGCACAATGTAGGCGGCGGCTGGCACCGACCGCAGCAGGGCCAGACAGTAGCAGCCGTGGCCGACTGCAACTGGGCTCCTGCGGAGAGGGAAAGGATTGGTTAGAGGGGGAGGAGAGCGCTGCAGGGGCAGCAAAGCAGGTGAGGAACTTCCTGTCGAGCGCCGCGGGGAAAAAAGTTTCGACGTGAGCCAAGGTCATCCTATGTTTTCTAAACGGCGATCAGTGAAGCTGCAGATCGCTTGATGACTCACACCAGGGAAAGGCCACATTTTGACTTTTCCTGAGCTTTTACCTTTATGCAGGAGAAGAGTCTGATCCAATTATCTTCTCACAATAATACGGATTGCTGCCAAGTTCTGATAAAGAAGTTAATGACTTTAAAAAACCTGCATGAATGGAGGAAGGGAGGGGAGCAGTGAGGAGATGATGATGTGAAAGCAAACACACGGATACACAAAGGCTTCTTTTGTGACGCGCTGAAACACAAGCAGAGCTAAGCACAGGGATGTGGTTCAGTAAGAAAAGCAGGCAGAGGACCAGCTGAGGGGGAGGAGCTTCAAGCTGCTTCCCAGGACAAGAGAAGTAGGAGACAAGGGAAGATGTCCAGTTTAACACACGCACACGCACACACACCTCTGTGTGAGTCTCTCTCAAAGGAAACTTCCACTTTATGAACTGTCTTGTTTTTGCAGAGTTGGATCATCGTTTAGTTGGATCAAACTTCAGACATCATTTGCTGATATCAGACAGCTTTAAAGGGACACGCAGTGATTACATTTGTTGGGGGATTAATAATAATAAGAACTTTTCTTTTTCTAAATATCCGAATAAAAGGCAGAGGACTTGTCTGATGCCTTGTGTTGCCCTAACGGTCCTGTTTGTAAGTCTGTGCTCAGACGACGAGAGATGAAGTTGGTGAGGATTACATAGTTTGAGCTAAATAATGAAAACAACCAGTTCATAATCCCACCAAGCTCCAACCATGAATCGGCGGATAAGCTCTTCAACTAGTGGCGAGTTCCACAGGACGGCTGTTTTGAAGACAGCTTGAGTTGATTTCTGCGCCGTACCTCAAAGAGCTGCTGAAATATTCACACGCAATCTCTGAGGAGATAATTCTCTCAGAGGAGCAGACAAGCGACGTCTCCGACATCTTCTTTAACTCACGGTTCTATAAATGAAGGAGGCGATAAAGACGCTCATCAAGCTCAACTTCAGCCTGATGTCATTTATCCACGGGGTGGGTAGAAGAGAACAGTCCTGGAACTAAATGACCAAGCTGGAGAATGGCCTGTGCAGAACTCAGACCAAAACTCTATTTGGTCTGAATAAATCCTTTCTTTCTGCCGTCATAACCGAGCAAAAGAACACGGTGTAAAATGAGCAGAATGAAAGATGAATGAAGCACTGATGGAGGAAGAAGATCCCACCTCTGAAAATCCTCCACACACAAACACAGCAGTACAAGTTTGATGGAGAGCTACGTCGCCCTTCACTGCATTGTATTTCATTTACTTATGTCAGGATCTCTCTTTCACAGACAGTTTTAATGATATTAATTAAGTAAAGTGGTGTTGATTGGCCAGTTTTGAAGATTTACAGTTATTCGCTGCAGCGAAACAATGAAAACATTCTCCTGGCCTTAATTAGAGTTCGACTGTGTCGAGGGAGGCCCGCTGAAAAGCTATTGATCAAAGTCCATTCTCCGGGAGCTGATGGTGCAGAGTGAATTCTGTAATGAGCGACTGTACACGAGACTATCGTGGAGTCTCAGAGTGCATATTACAGGTGGGGGCATCTGTGGACAGCGCCACGCTATAAATAACAACAGCAGAAGACGAAGGGGACGTAATGCTTACGAGCAGTGATTTCATGCGGCATCAGCTGCTGCAGCGGCCTCTAGAGGCCGCAGTGTTCACTGCAGCACACGCTGCGAGAGTGAGGGGCAGTACAGGCAACATACCAACATCCCGGGCAGCAGTTTGAACTTGTATTAAAGCTCAACACGTCTCAGGGGTTTTGTTGGTGACCGTAACGTGATTTTGCTGCTGTATGCGCGCCCACGCTTCAAGTGGAAAAGGAATGCCACGGCTTTGCTGTGCAGTCGCTTCAATCTCAGCTTACTTTTAACTGGTAGTGTGGTGCTGTGGGGAAGATGATGGGAGTCATTATGTTCAGCTCGGAAGCACGAGCGTCGAGGTTTTGACAACGTCTCGTCGTGGATCAAACCGTTTGGTCGCTAAATGAAAGGTTGAGAGGTCACCGACGGCACAGAGCCGTTCTCTGAAGACATCTGGAGCCAGCCATGAGCTGTTCTGCTCCAGAGTGTTGGGTGGCCAAATCAAAACCATCTTTGTCGTCTTTAGGCTCTGCTGCTGGCAGCGCCGAAAGTTTGAAGATGAATAGAGAGTTTTTTTTTTTTGTTTTTTTTTTTAAATCAGAGACCAGCTGAACTACTGAAATGTTAAACACTTCATATTCAAACGTGCGATCAAAGATTATTAAGAATACAAATCATGCTTGGTTATACACACCCCTCCTCTCAGTTCTCATTTGAGCTAACAAAGCTCTCTTTTGCATAAAGTAGAGACTCTTTCTGCAGCTTCAGATATATCCATGCATTTATGTTACTTCAAATTAAAACACACCTTTTATACAAACACCATCTTTTTGTCGAAATGGAGCGTTCTACTGTTGGCTCCATCAGCAGGGCAGCTGCTGCCCGGACACAGACCTCATCACTCAGCTCAGTGCTGGGGCCTCATGCCGAGGGGAAGCTGCAGTTGTTGGCTGCATTCGCACACACACAGCGACCCGGCTACTGGCCTCTCTCCAGTGGAGGTCTTGTGCAGGTTAAGCTGTTTACATGCATCTTTGGATACCCTCGCAAGCGGGTCTCCCTGTTGCCCCGAGTAAGCCAATTAACAGAGTATTGCTATGCACCTACGCTGTCCCAGCCACAGAGAGGATTCAGAGGGGAAAGTATGGAAAAAAAGAGAGAGACGGCCAACACGGTCGTAGGAACAGTGATGCTGCAGATGGCAGAGTGGCGCATGTTTAAAGGAGATCACAGTGGAGCAGTGGTTCCCAACATTTTGCTCGATGATCTCAAGCGATTGCACCACCTGCATCCCCGTTGCTCTTTCAAAATGAATTGGTGCAAACTGTCCTCACAGCTTTGTTAATGTGTCTTATATCATCATATACAGTGGGTACGGAAAGTATTCAGACCCCTTTAAATTTTTCACTCTTTGTTTCATTGCAGCCATTTGCTAAAATCAAAAAAGTTCATTTTATTTCTCATTAATGTACACTCAGCACCCCAACTTGACAGAAAAAAACAGAAATGTAGAATTTTTTGCAAATTTATTAAAAAAGAGAAACTGAAATATCACATGGTCATAAGTATTCAGACCCTTTGCTGTGACACTCATATTTAACTCACATGCTATCCATTTCTTCTGATCCTCCTTGAGATGGTTCTACTCCTTCATTGGAGTCCAGCTGTGTTTAATTAAACTGCTTGGCCTTGATTAGGAAAGGCACACACCTGTCTATATAAGACCTTACAGCTCACAGTGCATGTCAGAGCAAATGAGAAGGAACTGCCCAAGGAGCTCAGAGACAGAATTGTGGCAAGGCACAGATCTGGCCAAGGTTACAAAACAATTTCTGCAGCACTCAAGGTTCATAAGAGCACAGTGGCCTCCATAATCCTTAGAATGGAAGAAGTTTGGGACGACCAGAACTCTTCCTAGACCTGGCCGTCCAGCCAAACTGAGCAATCGTGGAAGAAGAGCCTTGGTGAGAGAGGTAAAGAAGAACCCAAAGATCACTGTGGCTGAGCTCCAGAGATGCAGTAGGGAGATGGGAGAAACTTCCACAAAGTCAACTATCACTGCAGCCCTCCACCAGTCGGGGCTTTATGGCAGAGTGGCCCGACGGAAGCCTCTCCTCAGTGCAAGACATATGAAAGCCCGCGTAGAGTTTGCCGAAAAACACATGAAGGACTCCCAGACTAGGAGAAATAAGATTCTCTGGTCTGATGAGACCAAGATTGAACTTTTTGGCGTTAATTCTAAGCGGTATGTGTGGAGAAAACCAGGCACTGCTCATCACCTGCCCAATACAATCCCAACAGTGAAACATGGTGGTGGCAGCATCATGCTATGGGGGTGTTTCTCAGCTGCAGGGACAGGACGACTGGTTGCAATTGAAGGAAAGATAAATGCGGCCAAGTACAGAGATATCCTGGAAGAAAACCTCTTCCAGAGTGCTCTGGACCTCAGACTGGGCCAAAGGTTCACCTTCCAACAAGACAATGACCCTAAGCACACAGCTAAAATAACAAAGGAGTGGCTTCGGAACAACTCTGTGACCATTCTTGACTGGCCCAGCCAGAGCCCTGACCTAAACCCAATTGAGCATCTCTGGAGAGACCTGAAAATGGCTGTCCACCAACGTTCACCATCCAACCTGACAGAACTGGAGAGGATCTGCAAGGAAGAATGGCAGAGGATCCCCAAATCCAGGTGTGAAAAGGTTGTTGCATCATTCCCAAGAAGACTCATGGCTGTACTAGCTCAAAAGGGTGCTTCTACTCAATACTGAGCAAAGGGTCTGAATACTTATGACCATGTGATATTTCAGTTTTTCTTTTTTAATAAATTTGCAACAATTTCTACATTTCTGTTTTTTTCTGTCAAGATGGGGTGCTGAGTGTACATTAATGAGAAATAAAATTAACTTTTTTGATTTTGGCAAATGGCTGCAATGAAACAGAAAAATTTAAAGGGGTCTGAATACTTTCCGTACCCACTGTACATCATCTTTTTATGAGCCTTCCACGTAAACACACTCCTGGATGATTATCACCCATAGGGTGACTTTTTAAACTGGCACTCACCGGTCTCTCTGTGAGCTGAGGTAGCAGACGAGGTGACACGCCCAGAGCAGGGGCCCCGCGTAAGTGCTGAGGGCCGTTAAGAAGACGGCAGGTGCCTCCACGTAACTCTCCAGTCCGACGAAGCCGACGGAAATGTCGACGGTGGCGATGTTGTTGGAATTGCCCTGCGGGAGCACAGAATAAATCTTATTTTAGCATCGCAGAGGGCACGGGAGTAACGCACTCTGTACACAGACAACAAGAAAGGAGAACACAAAGATTGTGTGGGGGCGAAGCTTTGTAAGCGTTTCGGAGCTCTAAAGAACCGGCCCTTTGCTTTATCATCATTACTCAGAGCTTTCTGGCGACTTCCCAGCGGCCCAGTTGTTGTTTGTGTGTTTTCCAGTCCCTGACCAGAGCAGCACACACGGCGAACCGTCTGCAGGTGGACTCTTGTTAGAGAGACTCTGTGCCAGCACCAACGCTTGGGTTTTTCCCCGGATTATTTAGCTTTTGAGCCAGTTTCCAGTTTGTAACGAGCAGTAAACTGAAAACATTAAACCTTCCTAACCTGGTTTTATTTTCCTTCTTCATCTCCAGCTCTAGAAGACCTTTTCACTGCAATGCAATCAGGATTGATAGCGACAATATAAAGGGTGTTTCTTTAGTGCTGTGAAAATATGCCTTTGCTGAAAAGCAGTAATACAGCGCAACACTAAAAAGATGTGAAGAAACATTTCATAGCCTTAAAATGTATTTTAAGGATTTTCTTATGAGCTTGTTGTTTCATCACAAGCTCCACCGGCCTCTGAGAGAAATCATTACAGCTTTTTGAAAATGAAAGAATTTCAAAATACATAAAGTTATCCGTCTTGGGCCAGTGCAGAATACATACTAATAAATAAGCAGGTTATTGTTAGATTATTTGAGGGGCTCTTAACTCCGGTGAGTCTTAAGACGTTACTGAACCCAAGTATGATTGTTCTCTGGACAATTCCTTTGTCACAGCCAGAGTAATCCATGCTCACATCTGTGCTGCTCGGGTGCTCCATGTGATTTCTGGTTGGCACTTTGGTGTTATTGAAATCACCTCCCGTGAGTCCTGTTCACGCCTCGGAGCCTTCAGAGGAATCAATCGACCCCGAGGCGTTGATCAGCACATCTGAGAAACACCGTTTGCTCGTTCGCTCGCATCTTTTCCTACAAAATCCAAATGGGCTCATTTACAGTTCTGCGTTGTATAATTAGCAAATTCCACGGGCGTAACAAGTGATAATTAAATTCAACATTCACTGTGATGGAGGTCTGCTGTGGCCTGCTCCACCCTGAACATGCACATACACAAGGACGAGAAAAAAAACATCAGGGAGATGAGCAGAGATCAAGGATGTCTTTCCCGTTTCATTTTGAAAGCAACGATGAGCCACGAGCAGCAGCACATCAAGCCGCCTGTGCACACATCTCTGATCACAGAGGGAGAGAACATTAACAGCTGCCTCCGTCTCAAACAAACACGCAGTGAATATCAGTGAGCAGGTTGGAGGCTGCATATGGAGATATTAGACTCGCTGTGATCTTTCAAATGTGCGGAGCGTCGGTCTGCATTGGCCAATAAGTTGTGAGAAGAAAAACAGAAGCGCCACAAATGTTTTAGAGTTAAAGTTCAGACTAAACTGTCTGTCTCACCGAACACAACGATCTATTGTAACTTTGTGTTTGCTGGAAGTTCAGGTCACTTCTGAGCTGTAAAAACACCCTCGTGATGATTCATATTTCACACAAACTGGCTCACTTGTGAAGCGTAGACACCTCCTCCTTTCTGCTTCTTACCGACCGTCTGGCTTTGGGACGGCGACAAATCCACAGAAAGCAGAGTCTCACTCGTCCATCGCTTCAAAATGATCAGACAGCCAAGACTTCCACCGCGAGACAGTTAATTCATCACGTGATGCGGTTTATGCGACGCTAGCAATGTCTGCGTCTGAGGTTACCTGAAAGATTTCTCATAATCCTCTTGTGTTTTTTGTGTGTTTATCAGCTGCCAAACCACAAGGAGACTGAAAACAGTTTTCTGCCAATATCTACAGGAAAGCCTCTGAAAAGAGCAAGAGTCTCACAACGCTGATCAATGTGCAGCTCGGAGCTCACTGATCAGCTGTAGCAGCGCTCGCTGATCAGATTGTAATTCAACATAGTTGTGATTATTGTGCACGACACCAGTTTGTTTTTGTTTCGGAGCAAGCAAATTGAAATCACATGTCTCCGCTTTACGGATCCATCATGGCTACAGCTTCGTCGAGAACGTTATTACTCAAAGGTCTGCAATTACATGCCTGGGCGATCGAGGCTGAACATTGTCTGGTGGTGGTCTAATCCCGAGCCCATCATGCTGTTAATGACCTGAGGGGTGACGAGGCTTATTGAATTGTTAGCGATGCATAAGTTCGGCGTTGACAGAAGCGAGCCTCTGCTAACCAGATCTCGGTCCTGGGTGGAGGCTCAATCAAAAGGCAGGTATCACATCTGCCTTTGAGGAGCATTCAGAGCTCGTAACGCACTCATCCACAGGAAGCAACTAGTCCAGCTGGCCTTCATGCCAGGAAGTAATATCATTTACACAGAAACACTCCCTCTGCTCAGAACTGCTCCTCTTGCAGTAGCAAACACTTTATCAGTGGTGATAGCTTTCCTAAATGTTGCTACACTCCGTGTCAGGGCGTTAAATTAGATGTCTCTTCCAATCAGACGAGGAAAACTTGCTTTCTGATTTGTTGTTCCCTGAACTTTTCGTAGGTATGGGAGGAGGTGGTTTTGACTCTTCACACCTCTGTTCTTTTGGCGTCAGCACCAACAGATCTGTGGAATGGTTGTAATTTGTACACTGGTTTGATTGTTTGTTTTTTTAATGGCAAGACTTATTTCTGGCTTTGCTCCAGGGTGGATTCAATCGGTAAAGGTAATTTGGAGAGGTTGGTAGGGGGGCTCAAACAAGCTTGTCTGAATTTAACAACTAACATTTAGCGGCCCCATTTACTGTTATTACTCTCAAGTTAAAACAGTTGGTAATATATATGAATAACACTGTAGGGAACATGTAACTTTGAGATGTTGGTGTCTGGCCACTCAAATATCAAGAAAATTATGATTTTCTCAAAAAAAAAAGAGCAAGATTTTGATGTTCTATCACAGGGGTCACTAATAGGCGGTCCGGAGCCGGACCCAAACGCTGTCCTATCCGGACCCAGACGCATAACCGCTTCCATTTTAACCTGCACAGCTTTTCTAACCTTTACGACACTCGTTCAGCCGTCTGGGAAACACACCAAACAACTGCATGTGTTGTAAATTATCTCACGCGATGCTACTCGGCCAATTGAATATATATGTAAGTAAGTAAGTGAGTGAGTGAGTGAGTGAGTGAGAGAGAGAAAGTCATTTCACATGGTGCGCTCTAAAAAGAGAAGAGTGGACCACGAAAACAGAGCTTTTAATAAAGAATGGACGGACTCTTATTTGTTCATTCTTCCTGCTGGCACTACTAAACCACTCTGTCTCATGTGTTCAGATATCGTGGCCATTATTAGAAGCGCCGATGTGAAACGCCACTACGAGACCAAACGTACATCTTTAGACCAAACACTCCAGTCTGAACTGAGGGCAAGATGTTGAGATGTGTACAGATTGTTTATTATAAAGTTGACTGAGACCGTTATGATGTGAAATGGATTTAACAAAAGAGAAGAAAAAAGTTCACTCCAGCCAAACTTTCATTTTCATTCATTTTTCTAATTCTACATTACTTCTAACACCTTTCACTGCTCAACTGGCAGTAACACTCAACAAAAAGAAGCTGCAGTTACACCTCCCCGACATTCCTTAGGGTGGATTACCTGGAAGTAAAAGAAGGCCTGACCAAACCAGTAGTGCATGATGGTGGTTTGGGCTGCGTCGTAGTGGAGCTTCTTCCAGATGAACTGAGCCATGAGCGTCTGGATCAACAGGCAGCAGCACAGGACCGGCAGGTTGTGAGGGCGAAACAGCAGCGAAACCAACAAGACCAAGCCGCTGTAAATCTCCCACAAGCCCCTGCTCTTCAGCTTGGCATCGGCTGAGACGATCTGGGATCGCAACAGGTCTTTGGTGCCGGTGAAGAAGATGCCCAAGATGAAGACGTAGACAAAGCGGGCCTCCATTGTTCCCCTAAAGGAGAAAGATTACAGGCGGGGTCATTTTTTTATTTTTTCTTGCATTCGCAAGTAAGCAAGCATTGATTTTCCTCCACAAAACTCCTCGTCCAATATTCAAGTAAGTGTGGTAAGTGAGTCTGGGAGGTGGAGTCTCTGGCAGTCCTGCTGTACCTGTCCATGCATTCAGCAATTACATATCCACATGCTGTGGTTTGGAGGTGTGAGGAAAATAATTGAATTCAGACTTTATATACTGAATGATAAAAGAAAAATGCTTCTTATCAAATAAAGGTGACAACAAAAGCTGTACAAGCTGTACATCAGCATCAGTAACAGCAGATATGGGAAACGGAGTGTAAAAGCTCAAAACAATACATTTCATTTGTTAACCTTAATTTGTAGAAACAAGTTTGGGACTTTGAACATTTGAACAGTCATACCTGCATATTTCAGTCAGACCTTTGTTGTAATACCTTTTCAAAGTTCACTCCTCCAATTAATTTCCTAACGCTGCCTCTTGTTCGACAGGTTTCTTTATATTCCTGTAACTCATAACCCTTCTTTCATTCAGTATGCAGTGTGTCAATGTAACATTCATAATTAAAGGTGTGAGACTGGAAGACAGAACGAATCACTGGAGGAAAACAGACTTTCACGCCCATCACTCTGTCGGTTGTACTTTCTGCATCACTATTTTTTTTTTTTTGAGGAACCTGTCAACAAATTCTTTCAGCCGATACCGATATCAAAACTCTCTTTTTTTCACAAGTTATAAATAGTAAGAACAGCAACAACCACATGTTTTCATTGGTATTTCAGAGACTAATCTGTCTGTTTTCACAGGAAGCACACACTGTAGTGCCATCGTTGGGAACATGTCAGCAGGATAAACCGAGTACAGATATTTTCATTAACATTCAGTTGCTAGGGCAACAGCTTCGGTCCAAGATCACTTCCTGTGAGCTGCTGCATTCACAAACAGGAAACACAAAGGGCCCCATATGAAATGTTCGAGTGTGCACTGTTGAAGCATAGGTAACATTAAATACCATTTCTTAAAATAAAAAACGCCAAGCCAAATGTAAGCTAAAGGGTAGCCTTACTGCCAGCAACCTAACCAAAGCATTTCAGCCCGTTACCGGTTATATGTGTCAACACTGGAGTAAGATAAGATGGCATTTTGAATTATGAGTTGAGAAACTCAAAACTCTAAATTCCCATGAATAATTATTTAGTTGCATTTGAATATACACTCAGTTGTCAGTTTATTCGACTTATATCTAAAACTAATGCAGCCTGATAATGAGAGGAACATTATAACCTTCATGAAGGTACAGTAGAATGTATAGCAACGCAGTGGTGTTAGACTACATGACTAGATAAACTGAGTCTTCTCAATTTATATGGCACAAAAAAAGGACAGGTTGGGCCTTTCATTTTGAATTTACACAAAGACGTTTATAATTTTCCATTTTCACAACATCGTTTCACAGAACATGACATGTTTGTCAGTATTAAAATCAAACGGGTGTTTTCAATGATTAGACCTTTAGTCAGTTAAAGTGGGTGGAGCCTCGCTGGGTGTAACGTGATGTCACAAAACTCGATGGACCAATAAGAATGATAACAAGGTACGATGTTGATTGAGGAGGGAACATCAAACCCTGCGCTGCTGCTTAGCACGGCGGTGTTAGCAAGCTAACTAGCCAGCTGTCCATTAGTTAGCTTGCTTGCTAACTCCACAACGCTTTAATCCCGTGTGTGGACAAGGCATCGACTTTTTAAACGTTACTCATTCATTCCGGCTCTCTGCTTTGTAATGTTACTACGCCACTGCTTGTTTTAGACTTGATGTAAGTCAGTTTAGTTTATACGAAAGTTAGCCTGCTACAAATGTCTCAATGACAACAGTACAAACAAAAATAAGCCGCCACTCTGACCATCATGCTACGTTGATTTGAATGGGAATGTCCGCTCTACTCCCATTTTATATCTATGGTACAAGTACACTGTGGTGGGAAGAGGTCTCATCAGACAACATGAGTGAAAACACCAGTGTGAGCGGACTATGGCTACATTAAAAGGGTTGAACAGAGTTGTAAAAGGTGTTCTGTAACTTTAACTTCTGCCTCTATGACAAGTCTACTATGGTTCCTAGTTGTGAATGTTTATGAGTTAATAAAGCAATACAATTTACAAACTGGTTGATTTCAATGATGAGTAAAATTGTTCAAATAAAGCTTTGTCATTCATACCGTTTGTTGTTTGTTTGGTCGACTGTCTGGTTATTTAGTTTTGGCTGATTAGACCCAAACATTGTTTCTAGTTTCTAGGATGTGAGCTTTGTAAGCTCTGAATTCATAGCAGCAAGATTCACCACAGATTTAAGGCTCATAATGCATGCCCTGTAACTCTGGGTCTTAAGTCTGAAGCTGCTACAAGGTTAAAACTACAAGGTTTCTATAAAGGCTTACTCCACAAAAATCACTTCCCAACTATCAATAATTGATATGCTCAAAAAGTCCCAAATTGAAGCTTTAAAGGAAAAGTGCTTTCGATTATGAAGGCAATTACATTTAGTCTAATTTCCATTTCAGGCATTCAGCGTATGCTCTTATCCACAGAAACCTAAATGGAGAGAGCTTTTTCTCCTAAAATCTGCCCTTTAATTACATTTACTAATATAGTAAATTAGCCCTCAAGAAAAAAGAAAGCAGACAACAAAAGAGACGTTAGAGCTCTGGTGGTGATAAGTTGTTTTATTCTATTTCAGCATGGATGGAGGGGAAATGAAGAGCATTAAGAGCTAATGAAGTCTAGGGAGCCACTGAGTTTGAGGAGTTACAGCCGGAGGACACTGAAGCTTTTAATTGTATTCTCTGCAAACATGAAGCGATTAACCCAGTCATCAATACAATGTATTTTTTTTATAATTTCACCTATTGGCCACACAGTACCCCATATAATAACTAACATGAATATGAAGTAGCTTCTGGTCATTTTTCCAAACGCTAATTGCTAAAAAGCTATTTACACATTTTGGAAACCTAAGCATGACATTACAAATGTCAAGAGAAGGCTTACGCAGAGCAAAGGGACATTTCTTTTGCAGCAGGATGCAGTCAGAGCCGAGGAAGTGTTACGGGATAATAGCCGACCCTGAAGGAGTTGAGCAAGTATTGGACATGTATTATTAATCCGTGTGTTTTGTGGAAACCTGTTCCAACGGAGGGAAGGAGCAGCGTAATATGCTCCATGCAGCACTATTCTTCATTATTCACTACTCCCCTCACAATGTGGCAGGGATTGTATTCATCATTATTTCATGGGGAAGGAAACGTGGAAAAATCCTGGCGTGGATTTGATTTTATGCGAGGACAGCGATGGATTTAAGCTGCCGGGCTGACTTGTTAACTCGCGCGCTGGGTGGAAAGAATTGAGAGTATAAAAACTGCGTCACGCTCTTAATTGTCTTACAACTACAGGAAAACACATGAGATTTAGATGTGAAACATTCACAGATGCCTCCTGTGGTGAAACCTGTATATTTAACTCAGACTGCAGTGATAAGACACATCACTCTGAGGCAATAAGCCCCGAGACAAGGCTGAAAGGAAGCTTGTTTGCTTTGACATTTTCGATGCAAAAAAAAAAAAGAAAAAGCACAAGCCCTCCTCCTTGTTTGAGCCATAACACGATCAAGATTTGTGGTTCACAAAGTGTCTGCAGTCACTTCAAGTGTCTCCTGATTACAGTACATCACATAGCACAGCTTTGCACCAATCAGAGTCCTCAACTTTTCCAGCATTTACTTAATCATTTAGCTAACGGGGGGATTACGCAATCTGTTTCCATCAGACTCTACAGACAAAACAGCAGGGACTGCAACAACACTAAACAAGACTCCTGCAACACCCTCCTGTCAGCCTGTCCCCTTGAAGGACGGATTAACAATAAAGTCATGAGAGATGTAAGCAAGCTAATCGCAGCAGTTAGAGGAGCAGCATGTAACGATGCCTTCTGATCTGTGTGTGCTTGGTGGCAATATGCAAAGCATCTTGGAACTTCGTTCCAAAGGGAGGTTTTGTTCCAGACTACGGAGAGTTTAATTGTTGAGTCATTAGTATTGAACAACAATCCCAGCAGCCCTCCTCGGATACGTTGTCATTTTGTATCGAGGAGTTTGTAAAAGTCCTCCAACTGCCCTTTAGCGTGTTGCTGTTCAGACCACCGAAAACACACACACACACACACACACACACACACACACACACACACACACA